ATGAACTATTCATTTGATTCAGGTGTGGTGACCCAGGGTGAGATCTGACACCTGCAGGACCACGGCTCTCGAGGACTAACGTTCCCTACCCCTGCTCTAGGATGTTATTGGTCATCACTTTGTAGCTGATGATTGGGAGATAACCCTGTACTGTAATTATCTCCCTCATCATATTTTATAAATGGTATAATTCACTCCCACTGGCAATATCTACAGTTGCTTACATGAAAGTTGAGATACGTTTTTATTTGGGACTTTTTTTTTTTGCCTGCCATCCTGTTCCCCCTGTCATCTCTATAAGGAGCTCAGTTTCAGTGACATGTTATGATCTCTGGATCAGTAATAATCTCTGCCTGTATAAAAGTAAAATAATTTAAAGCTGGATTAACAACCTTAGCATTGTGAAAGAACATTTAAAAGTTTTTGTTATTAGGTTTTAGCAGTTATATACATACATCAGAATTCAAGCATCAGTAATGACATCCTGGGAAACTTCTTTTCATGGGCTTCGTCTTGAATTACTTACAAATCTATAAATGCCATATCACTCTCTTGTTCAGTTTGCCTCTACTTCTTAAAACAATGAATGCGTCCCATTCAAAAGCCCATCAGTTACCCAGAACAACTGCATACTTCGGCCTCATCATTCAGGTTTACTTCAGCCAATGAAGTGCATCCCAGCCCTCGAGAGCAGTACTGCTTTCAGGAAATGACTATAATGTTTTAAAAGGGCCGTGTCCAATCCATTGTCCTCACTTTAGAGTTTACTGGTGGGCTTTAACCCCAGGCTAACAGTTGTGCATGTGTAGGTGTGTGTGTGCTTCCAGTTGCGGGATCTTAGCCACTACATCATCGCTGTGAAACCTATTTCATGGTCCAACATGCCAAAACCTTTCAGCCCAAAACATTTGCTGCAACCAAACCAGTCCCAAGAAGAGGGGGAACTCGAGTCCAAGCAGAAGATATATTTCCCATGATGTAACGGCAGAGACTTTTATGGCCCACAAACCAGCTAAAGAGCTGAGCATAGATGATGTGATAATCCCAGTGACAGTCTGCAGTCACTCGTGTTGTTAGAACACGTCTCCCGCTGACCGATGGTTTGTTTAGCATTTCACCTTCCAAGCCTTTGTTAGTGTTTGAGGAACCTTTTGGCAGAAGAAACCTTGTCGAACACTTGATGCAAGATGAGCACTGAGGTCATTATGTATATTACTCCTGCCAGATCTGTATGTAATGCTCATTTGAATAGGCAGACCCTCTTTGATGATTATATCAATATATATTTTCACTCCCGCGTTTCTTCTCCAAAAAGCTCCTGGTTTCAGGAAGTATTAACAACGCCTTCCTGGACAACTTGATACCGGATACTCCCTACTCCATCACTGTCACCGCTCTGTACGCCGACGGCGAGGGATCAGCGGTGAAGGACAATGGCAAAACATGTAAGCACAATGACAATGTCACATTCTGATGGTGTGTAGAATCACATAACTTACTCGCAATAGTTTACATCTGTCGCATGCAGTGATGCAAAACACAATAAGTACAAGTATATTTAAATTTCGGGTTGCTGACTGCACTCCTCTTAGCAAATATTGGATCATATCATTGGTGATGATCGTAAAACTCCGACTATAATGAACAAATGAGCCTCGTATGGAAAATTAATTATTTAATATCTTTTATACAAAACCCAAAAAGACAGAATGTGATAATTTTTTAAATCTCATAAGCCCATATTTTAACCATAATAGAAAATAGACATATCAGATGCTTAAATTGAGATATTTTACAATTTCATAAAAATCTTTAGCTCATTTAGAACTTTTATGGCAGCAACACATCTGAAAAAAGTTGGGATGGAAAAACAAAAGGCTGGAAAAGTAGGTGGTACTAAGAAGAAACAGCTGCGTGAACATTTTATAGCTCATTGGATTATCTGGGAACAAGTCAGTGATATGACTGGCACCTTAGAGATGCAGAGTAAAGATGGACAAAGTTTAATATGCAAAACATTAAATTTAGTTTTTCTAATTTCAGTAGTCATGCAACTGGGATATTCTATGCATTCAGGTTTATTAGTCTCCTTTGTCTTTTAGATATTAAAAGCAAACCATGGCATTTAATATAATTTGGTAGGAAACAGACAACTTTACAGAAGCTGTGTTAGCATTAGCCAGCTAACATAGGTACACCCTCACTACCTCCATAGAATAATAGAGGATAAGAAGTCAAATGCTGATATTTAAGTGCACTTGAATAATTGATCATCAGCAAGTGTGAGCACCTCTATAAAAGCTGAAGTTTTGGCAGGTCTGGAGCATTCAGGTGTGTTAACTCAATGCCACAGTCCTATCAGGGGTGGATGTCCCAGCAAATTCACCCCAGTCTGTCGGGCTAATGCTCGACCCAAACTGCACAATGATCACAAGCATGGAAACAAATGACTGAAAAAAGAAAAGAAATGGCCCAGGCAGAGTCCAGACCTCAACCTGATCAAAGTGCTGTGGCGGGACCTTAAAGAACGCTGTGCATAAACAAATGCTCACAAAAGTCAATGTAGTGAATCAAAGCTGTAAAGAAAAGAGGGCCAGAAGTCCTCAACAATGTTAATGGGTCCAGTTCGTGTGGAAGGGCCTGTACTGATAAAATATATTTTACATTATTGCTGTAAAAAAAAAACCCTACTGAATCATGAGGCATACTCAGTTTTTCACAGGTCTGTTATTGTGTTGATTCTCGAGTTTAGTTAAAATGTTTTTTCTTCCCTTTGTCATTTTATTTATTCCTTTCTTTACTCTGAAAAAACAGAAAAAAAAAGTGGGCTTTCAGGGAGGGGCCCTTAAAGAGAAATAATCTAGTATAACTAAATGCCTTCGTGGGCACCATTATATGTAAATGAGGATTCAACTCTGGGTGCAGTAAAGTAAAACTTCAGAACTAGAAGTGGTCATAGAGGTTAAGTGAGTATATGTATATAGTGTAGCTATAGTAGGATTTAAAGAATTATAGAAATCAAATAATCTTTTATTCATGAATTAGAAAAATATATTTCTATTTATACATTAAAAAAAATTCTCCTACACTGCTTCTGTTTGATATGGTGCAGTACCCCGTGCTGGTCCCAGGAACATGCGTGTGTTTGACGCCACCACAAGCACCTTGACCATCGGCTGGGATCACGCTGAAGGGCCCGTAAGACAGTACAAGATCTCCTACGCACCCATGACTGGAGACCCCATCACAGAGTCCGTAAGTGAAACTTTAAGCTCATTGACGTCCACAATATCAAATCATCTCAGATAACATCAACATGTTACTAGTAACAGTGCTAAAGTAGAGCAGTCATCCCAGAGAAGGAGCCAGTCAGTACAAATTTAAAATCAGGCATTAGTGATGGTCACATTTCCAAAATGGTTTAGTGGCCTGTTTGGGGGTAAATATACTTTCCTTCGCACTCTGATTACCTGCCTGTATTGTCTGAAGGAAAGCTGGTCTTACCCTTGCAGAAACTAAATTACGCACACTGATGATAAAATTTTTAAAAACGACCTCAGAGGCTGAGACATTTTGGTGAAGTCATTTCGGAGGAAATGCATCAGACCCACTAACCTCAAGTGTATTTCTTACTCTCTCTTTAACCCATAAAGAGGGATTAATCTCAGGTGGTGATGTGTTTTGTTTTGGATAAACTGGCCGCAAACCCTCGCCATTCACAGCTCGCTGTGACGTCCCCCTCGGACTATGCGGTGAAGTCACATCTCAGGATTCCCTCGCCTCATTCAGGATATAAATCACAGATTAGGGAGACTAATTACAGGCTCAGTTAAACAAACTGTATAATTTGGGGCATAATAGCATTATTAATAGTTCTGAATAATAAGTTGGAACGATGGTGGAGAGCGGAGACGGCCCAGCTGTGCTTCCCTTCTGCTCGTTAGTCTAACACTTGCTCAGAGTGAGTCAGCTAACTGCAGCAGAGGGACGCCGATGAAAGGAGCTCTCCAGACTGGGACTGACCAAAGAGCTCACGACTATTATTTATACCGATGCAAAGTGATCAATTTAGCATCTGTAAATAATGTGGAAGGTTCGTGTTGGTACACAGTTTCTATAATCCCACCGAGAAGCAATTTTCTGCCTCACAAGGCTGAAGAAGTTATTTCCTGTTTATTAGAGAAGTAGTCTTCTAAAATATTAAAGCCTAAAATGTAAAATTGTGCACCACCAACAGTTTTTGTATTTTTCAGGCTCTTCTCTTTATCTTACTGCACAAACCAAATTTATTCGCACTAAAATTTGGAATAAAATTTTACCCAAATTTAACTTTGATTAATTGATTTTAATGACCGTTTCTCATTTAAACTAATATTTGGGTCCTTGATTCAAATTCCAGATGAATCCAAATGGTTTTCTATTATTTTACTTTTATTTAAACAGGGAGCAAAACTCACCACTGAACATGGACTGTATATAAAAGATATAAGGGCATAGCAGTAGGAAGTTGTTTCAGCTTGCATTCTTTATATTGGCCAGCAGGGGGTGATTCCTTTGGTTGCAAAAAGAAGTCCACCCTGGTAAAAGGACTCTTCTTGTCACTTGAAAACTTTCTGATGGGGTTATGGCCTTAATCAGTGCACTTCAGTAAACTGGTTAAGATAGCAAAAAAATAAATAAATAAAAATCTATAAAAAATAGGAAGCAAAATAATCGAGAATTTGACTTCATTGCAAGGAGGATGTGTGGTTTGAGGCATCTTCACTTCACAGTTTATAGTCTCTCTCTGTATATAGCATGACACCCTTTATTCTTAGATCTTTGATTTAGAAAACAGGAAAACTCCCCAAAAACTGAATAAGAGAGAAAAAGGAAGCAGAAATCTCCAAAATCATACATGCACAGACATGTGTGGAAGGAACTCTGTGGAAAGCAGGTGTAGCAGCTTGTCCTGTGACTGGGAGCACTGGGTCAGCTCCGCTCACCAATTACACATACCATGTGCAGCAGATGTGCAGATAGCAAAGCAACTCAGGACACTCTGGATGCAAATCTTTCCTGACTGATTTATGCTTTTTCTTCTTCGGCTACTGAAAATCTCTGGCTCTGTGCCGTTTGGATCTTCAGACTCTGGTTTTAGGAAACAGAAACAATGCCATGCTTCAGAATCTGCTCCCAGACACCCCATACAACATCACTGTGGAGGCCATCTACGCCGAGGGGCCTGGAGGATCCCTCAACGGGAACGGACGTACAAGTAATAAAAACCTCTTTGACCTCTAGTTTTCTAGCAAAGGCAGCTTTTCAGAAATGTTGGTTTTCTTGTGATATTACACAATCCCTTGCAGCTGTCACAGGGTTTCTGCACATTTGGCGTCATAGCTGGGCCGATTGTAGTAAACAACAGGCTTTCTCAAACTCCTAGAAGGCAAATTTTACCCCTCAGCAGCCATCTTTCAAGTTATTTAAAAGCTTCCAACTAAATTAAAAAGTAGAGATCCATGACTTTAACCGCAATAGCCAGCAGTATGTAAAAACTCCACATGTAGAATCAACAGTCAAGTTTGATTTAAACAGAAAGCTCGATATTTAGTTTTTGTTTTACCCAAAATAAAGTTTTTAAATCTTTTTCCTGCAGGTTATTCTGTATGTCTGCTACACATGCTGAAGCCCTACAACATGGCTGTTTCATTAACAGAGCAGATGTAACTACCTGTATCACTTCTACAGTAACAAGTAGATATACCTGCTGCTTGTCTACTGTGTGGAAATGAAGTGATTAGCTCAGATGTTTTCTGTGGCGGCCCCTGATTGGCTCTTTGCGGGCAGAGAGTGGACAGCTTCCATCTTTGGTCTTACAGAGTTCTCCTTAGATATAAATTTTTAAACTTTCTGTCGTTACTTGTATTCAAACCTGAAATAAATCTTGTTTGATTAAGTCTATTAACCATCTATCAGAAAATAGCAAAAAAAAAAAAATCCCCCTTTTATATTTCCTACTTTTGATTTTGATATTGACCGTCTGTGGAAGGTAAACCTCACAATCCGCTCCACCAGCATCATGCTACAAACAATTCTAGTACATTTAGGATGTAATCCAGCACCTCAGCAACTTTTGTGGTGGTTCAGCTTTGAGGCATTGAACCCAGGAGCTTAAACGCAGCGACCGCAGTAGCACTTAGGAGTGAGTTAGAGGAGTAACAGAGAAAATAAATACATTAAGTGCGCGTCAGTTATCAGGGTCTGCATGTGTTAGTGTGAAGAGTTTGGACTTAAAGGGGAAAGCACTCGATCGGCGAGCAGTAGGCTTAGTTATACAAACAGCAGACACTCAGAGTGTGTGTGTGTATGTATGTATGTGTGTACCTGTTTCGATATCTTTGTGGGGTCCAAAAATTGGAACATTACTGTGGGGACCAACAGTCACTTGTGAGGACAAAAGTGACAAAAGTAATTTTTGAGACTCAAAATGTGGTTTATTGTCAGGGTTACATTTATTTTATGGTTAGGTTTAGGCTGAGGGTTAGGCATTCATTTTTGATGGTTGGGGTTAGGCTAAGCGGCTAGGGAAGGCATTATGTCAATTGGATGTCCTCACTAAGATATCAAAACGAGAATGTGTGTGTGAGGCTCTTTCAGGCATCCGTCCAATTCTGGACACACACCAACTGGTTTCTTCAACAAGACTAAGACCCAAATCTAAACACCTCTATTACATAGGATGAATCTTATAACCTGACTTAAGGCGGCTCATTCCTGACCGCCAGAAAGGAAGAGGCTGATTTTTATTATTACTGAGAAAATGTCCCCCTTTTTTTTAACAATGCTCTGTGGTTTAAACAACCTACAGGTATCAAGTTAATGAAAGGCTAGGGGGTTGTTCTAGCGTTTAACAGCAGCGAGAAGACGGCGTGTCAGCTTCCAAACTCTGAGCTCACTGAAAATTTTGCCACAGTAGGTGTAAAACGCTCCCCGGTGTGTGGACGGCTGATATTTACGGTTCAGTTAAAGGAAAGAAAAACAGCCAAAATAAAGTTCTGTGTCATTCAAATGCAAACTACAAATTAGAAGTTCACTAGTGCTTCTGTTTCTGTTTTGTTGCACATGAAGCTGCAGTGGATTTAGTTTAAAAAGCCAGAAATTCTCCTGCTGCTCTCCCCTCTCTACCCAAACAATAAACCTCCTTTCTGACTTTATGGGGCCATAATTTACTAAATTAGCTTTAAGTTTTATTAAATATGACTTGAAGCTTGCGATTCAAGGCTCATCAGGAAAGTTGGAGAGTTTAAGCTGGCTGAGTCACTTTTGCAGTCAGTCTAAGTGGCCAATAGAGGAACTGCAGTTTTTTGGTACTTGCACATTAGCATCATGTTTTAGCCCTGCGTGTTGATGCTTACCATGTCTAAAATTCGATGCCTCCTCTGTGTCAAAGTCGGCATGTTGAGTCCCAGAAACCTTCGGATCTCGGACGAGTGGTACACGCGCTTCAGGGTGGCCTGGGACCCGGTGACTGCACCCATCCAGGGATACCGGCTGATCTACACCCCTGCAGGTGAGCCTTAACAAAACCATTGCGGTTAATCAAACATGTTTCTCTGCACACACATTGTGAATAATGTCTTGGTTCCTAAAAGCTGTCACCTGATTTTTACTTCTCTTCAGTTTCTCACTCACTTCTCATTCTCCGCTCTGTGTTTCCAGGCATGAACCAGCCCATCGACTTCTTCGTTGGAGACGTGAGCTCTTACACTCTGACCAACCTGCAGCCTGGAACCACCTACGACGTCAAAGTGCTGGCACAGTACACCAGCGGCGTGAGCGCGCCGCTCATTGGCCAGGGGACGACACGTACGTACAGGAAGCGTAATTAGACGCACAAACTGCTGATTTATTTCAAATGTCGCTCATAATTGTTTCTTAAAAAACTCACTGGACCTTGGCGTCCTCTTGTTAACCCCTCCTGATTTTTCACATCCAGTCACTTCTGACACTTTAACTTAGGACCAGAGAGAATCCCAGGATTTATCTGATGTCTTTTCAGTTGCTCAGATTTGTTTCTGGCTGACTGAGATTTGGACTTAAAGGCATGTTCACACCTGTTTACTATTTTGTCTGGTTATATTGGCCTCAGGTGTTTGTTAGTTTTTTTTTCAAGTTGGCAAGATTTGTTTGGGCCGGAGACATTAATTACTCTCAGGTGTGGAACAAAACAGCTACACCAGGAGCCCTGAAAAGAAATGGGCTCATGAAGTGAAATACTAGTCAAGTTTCTCGCTACCTAAAGTTACTCACCTGGTTCCATCAGGCAGTGCAGCTAACAGATTATCAGATGTACTCTTTTTTTGTTTGTTTGTTTTTGTTTTGTTTTGTTTAGCTAAACAGTTCCTGTCTCATAGAGAATCTCTATTTTTCATCAGTTGTTAAAAGAGCTTAAAAAAACATGAATCGTCCGACATATGAACAGCATAAACCTCCACTGTGCTTAAACTCAGATTTTTTTTTTTTCAGTCTACCTGAACGTAACCAACATTGAGACCTACGCCATCGGCCACGACAAGTTCTGCATCAAGTGGACGCCACACAGAGCGGCCACGTCTTACCGCATTAAACTCAACCCAGCGGACCGTAAGTCACCTCACATCACTTTTTAAATATCATAATCAGCTTTTGTGTGTAATAATAGTAATGTAATAATAATAGCACTTAGACCTTTTCTATGTAAGTCTCTAAATGATCCAAAACCACATGGTTGTGTAACATGTCCTCGGATAGATCACGGAAGAGAACCTGCAGTGATTTTCATCAGAAGTTTCTGATATTTCATTTCTCTGCAGATGCATTAATCTTGTGCTGTGGCTCTATCTGCCAGTGATCCTGATTCAGAGTGACATATTTAAATTGATGCATGTGGTAAAGTGTGCAATAAGACTCCCATCAGATGTCTGAAAACATATCTGCAGATGAGATCATCTCTGCAGATGCTGCAGAGACTGTTTTGACTCAAACATTTTCTTGTAATTTCCTCCCTGAGGCTGTTTAAGTTCAGGCCTATTTTCGGTTATTGATCAAAAAAGATGCAAGTTTTGGCCAAGACTGAAGGCGCCCGACCACAAAGCTTTAACTCCATCTCTGTTTGCAAAGATTACATCCTTTTCAATGACTTTGGAGTGTCCGAGGTCCATCTGGTTCATACTCGCACGTGGAGATAAAGTATCCATGTTTAAATATCGTTATGGTAGTCATTAGGCATTCGGGCTGCCAGAACAAACACGGGTCTGTTAGCGTGAGGCAGATGGTGGTTAACCGCTACCATAGGAGCCGTCCCAGTGAGACGCAGCAGACGCTCAAGTCAACAAATCAGTCAACTGTTTGTTCTCAAGTGGAAATGCAAACAGCGGTCAGAGCCAGCGGTGAGATGAGGGGGTGGAAAAACGGTGAGCACGGGTCTTCTGCCTCCATGTTTTAACATCCGTGGTAAGAAGAGGAACATGTGGTTCAGACTCTAGGCTATCTGATATCCTGCTGAATAGTCTGAGGGCTTTTATTTTGCCAACGCACTCTCAGCTCGGACCTGAGTGCATCTTTGCTCCCGATGAAAGAGGGCCACCGTTCTGGAGTCAATCTCTCTGAGAGGTGTGCGTGTTTGCACAAATTAATTTACATGATCGATCACAACTTGTTGATGTTACTGGGCATATTCTGAAGATATCTGCAGCAGCGGAGCTGCGGGGAGCATTGAATCCGACTTACTTGAAGTGCATTTGGGACAGCAAAACGCCCGTGCGATAAACACGATTTGTTTGTTTGCTCTCGCAGAAGCGCTCAGAGTAAATAAGAAATCGTATTATCAATTTATCAGCAGCCGAGACAAGCAGAGAGATAAACATTTCACTGGAAGGGTCAGGGTGCTCTGTGTGTAAAGTAATCTTTATTTTCTTCGTTTAGCAACAAAAAGTCCACTAAACTACAGACAACAGTCATGAAGTGTGGTTGGTCAGTGACTATGAGGTCACAAATCCTGCAAGGGCTTTCAGGTAGTTTAAGACGTGCTCAAAGAAACCTTTCCTCTTTTGGAAACTTTCTGCAGTCCTCTGAGGCTCACCCACTGTCTTAAGGTCTTAGCTGGAGCCCATCCCAGCTGTCAGTGGGCAAGAGGTGCAATATTAGAAGTGGTAGACTACCCAACATGTATACTAAAATGTACAGGGATATTAATTTGTAAGTGTTGGTGAAGTGATTGGACGAGACTGCCTTTAACATGGAATTGATTTCAAATACAAACACAGATGGTTTAAAATGGAACTAGAGCCATGAAAATGCTGCAGAATAAACCTCCTTTGTCCCTCATGAGGCTGAAACGGACACAGAGAGTGCCAGCGTCACAAGCCAGCAGGCTTTGGTGTTAATTTACAAGCCAGAAACATAAGCACCTGGGGAAGTAATCTTTGACTCATTAGTAATAATTATTAATGCTGTCATACTCAGGAGATGTATGAAGTGAGTAAAAATCTTAGTTTTCTTCACAGGAAAATTTCAACATGATTCAGGGTCCAAACTGTGTAAAAGTCACTGGTGTGTTTTACAAGGGCATGACGATTCAGCCATCTCGAAAAAACTCGTGACTGAAGAACATGAGTCAGTGTTTCCCTCTGACAGGAACCAATCACACTGAGCCCACAGCACCTGGAAATAAACTCTAAATGAGCCGATCGGGAGGTCGAACCTTATTAAACCTCGATGAAACTTTTGAGCACATTCAGAAAAGTCCATCATTTAATTTAAGACCACTCCACTGTACTGTGATGTGTTTACATGTGTTTTTGATTCCTCTGTAGCATCCAGTAAAGGACAGCATGAAATCACCATTCCCGCCGGCCTGCCTCAGTACTGCTTCGACGGACTCTCTCCCGATGCTCTGTACACCGCAACTGTCTTCGTTCAGACGCCAAATCTGGAAGGCCCAGGAGTCAGCACCAAAGCGAGGACCTGTAAGTACTAAGAAAGTTCTGCAGTGAGGAGGAAAACTCTAGAAAATCGAGAGAATTCTGCCCTTAATAAATGCACAAAAACTAGAGTGTGTTTGAAATGTGACCGGTCTGGTTCACTGCTGTGAAAACGTGAAGTGCAGTATTTTAATCAGAGAATCAAACCAGTGGCAGGAGCACAACTATTAAAAGAGAGGTCGGGTATTTATACCTTGTGGGGACATCTACTTGACATAATGCTTTCCCTAGCCCCTTACCCTGGCCATGAAAAAAGAATGCCTAAACCTAACTACAACCGAATTGTAACCCTATCACTAAATCCACATTTTGAGTCTCAAAAATGCCTTGAAACTTGTGGGGACCAGGATATTGGTCCCCACAAAGATATGAATACACACTCACAAACACACACATACACACAATACATGAAACAAACATAAAGAAGAGAACAACAGTGTACTGGAGATAATGAGTCAAATTTAAAGTCAAAATATATAAACTTTAAGACAGCGTGGTCTCGGGCCGGAAAACAGGTGTAGTTTAATCAGGCAGAACATCTGAAGCCTTGAGGTCATTTTTAAAATTGCCTTTCTTTCATTGAATGAGACCGCATCCTGAATTTGGGTCAATCTGAGCAGCGCGACAAACAAGAATAACTTCCTGCACTTTAATAATTAAATTAAAGCATCAGGGTTTTTGATCTGGAAATATAATTTCATCAGTTCTTTAAATAGTGATTAAATACTTTGTGGTCCAAATGTCCTGCGAGTGACATTGTCCACTTCAGCTGTCTCAAGTTTTTTATATTGATGTTTTAACTTATTTATAAAATGCAACAAAAATATTTAACAAATATAAACACTGAATGTAAAGAAGAATGTAAAGTACTGCATGCAGTGCTGCATGTGGCAGTCGTTACATGATTGGCTGGAAAAATCCTTTGTGCCAGGCAGACAGCTCAAAGGTTTTTAAAGTAATCCAACCTTTTTAAGATGTCATCTTATGTTGAAGGGAATATAAATAAAAATGAGTTTAAACTCACATTAATCTGTCCTTCATGTATTCTTAGTACAAACCAACAGCATCTGCATCACTGACGGAAAAACACATAAAAACACGTCCCAAGTGGATCAGCCCACCTTTCCAAAGAGAACACGATCGTAGTAACAGCTGCGTGGCTCCGACACGCCCACTCACAGTGCAGTCATGGTGTCTGAGACATGAAGCACGATTCCAACTGCGAATTGCATCATCTCGCAGTGCGGCTCCAAAACAATGACTTCATCACGCGCCGTGTTTACGCCGATTCTGTATTTATTACAAATATGTTGATAACATTTTTTTTTGTGATTTTTTGTTTTGTTTTGTTTTGTCTCTCACAGTGCAGGAGCCAACTCCAGACCCAACAACCCCGCCTACTCCAACAGCTCCACCCACTATCCCCCCTGGATGGGCAGGTAAACCTCTAATGACATCCATAATCCATAATCCAACTGAAGGCGAGTTGAATCTGAAATGCATTCTTGTGTTTTGGTTGATGAGACATATTGCAGCCCACAATATGTGGCCAACGACTTGTTTGAAGGTTCAATCTTCACATTGTGGCTACCACCGTGATTTCTTTCTCATTGGTAAACATTTGTGACCCAACGGTTAAAGTTCTTTAATCTTTAATTTAATGCTGATTCTTGATTGTGAAAATCTTTATAAAAACTCACCCTGCATACAGACATCATAGAGGTCTAAAATTTTCAGGTTGTGTACGTGTTTTTTTTTCTGCTTTACTCTAAGGACTTTTGTAGTCTACCTCAAGTGGCCATTAGTGGAACTTCAGTTTCAGCACACCCTTTTAGCTGCTTGGTGTTCCAGGTAGATGGGATGTCTCTCCAGCCTGTTTTTGGGTCTCCTCTCAACTGGGCATGCTCAAAAGAAGCAGCTTCTTTTCAGTGACTGTCTTAGCAAACACCAGCAGCTGTTAACTGTTGCTTTACATGTCAAACATTTCTAGCAAATCCTGTTTTCCCCCAGTCTCACTGCTTCTGCTGACTCTGCTGTTTCATCAGGCCTGCGTGCTGCTTTGCAGTCTCAGATGCTTGGAGACTAAAGGTGCATTTTGGAATCTGTTTCCAGAGTCTTTGCCTTTTTTTCCTAATAAAACAATATAAAAAATACAAATAATAATGAATTTTGACAGCAAAAGTTACAAAATCAGAGTTTAGCTTGGGTTAATAAGGCTTCCATCTGTCGGCTTCTCACTGGGCCAATTCTGTGTGAATCATCTCCCAATATTTCCCCAAGAAACTCTCCCAGGACTGAACGGATCAAGTCCTTTCATTCAAGCTCGGCCGTGTTTGGAAAATCCTCGACGGTGACTTTGTGAACGCAGAGTCCTCCTGGATCCAACTCGGACTAGCGATGGATTAATGGCCACCACATGTGGGCCCCGCGGGGGAGCGCGCCCGTTAAGAACCAACAGCTCAGGTGTTGAAAAAGAAAGCGAGTGCAGTCCAGAGAATTTGTTTGTGTCCTTTGGTGCTGTGTGAAAGTTGTTTATAGAGCTCAGAGCAGGCGGAGAAGATAAAGAGGGGTGCATCACATGAGGCCAAGATTCTTTAAAACTTTTCACCCAATTCGTTTTCATGTGAGAGGAACGCATTAGGGAGAGCTTGGTCCTTATGCAGACCAAATGTTACCGGTTTTATTTTGCCAGTTTGTTTGTTTTTTTATCAGTGGGACCCATAATTATCGCGAACGTTTCTATCACGGCATTTGTCTCAGGCGTTTTGTTTTGTTGCACACTATCAGCTGACTTTTTTAATGTGCTCCAGCTTGCTAATTATGCCATGTTATGATGCAACAACTGGCCTGTGGACTCATTGACTCTTTTTTTTTTTGCCTCAGTCTGCAAAGGCGCCAAAGCAGATGTGGTGTTCCTCATCGACGGCTCGTGGAGTATCGGCGAGGAGAGCTTCACCAAGGTGGTGCACTTTGTCTCCGACATGATTGCTGCTTTTGATGTCATCGGACCCTCAGGGATGCAGGTTTGTGCTGAAAACACTGACAGTTATTCCCTCTGACAAGGAGGAGTAGTGCACCCGGTGCAGTTCTGTGTTATTTATACAACAGTTACCTCACAGTGATTTATATAGTGAGACCCTGCAATAAAAAGTGCAAAATCTTTGTGAAGTCAAATGGGCCATGCAAGGCCAGCGCAGGCTATAACATGCTCTACCTACTGCACCTCCACTCAGGTAGCTCCCTCACATCAACCACTACTGCACCATTTGCAGTAGTCAGAGCAGCCATCTACTCCGAGCGGTTGACAGTTGAGGGGTGAAAAGGCAGAAAAGGAGAAAATAGAGAGACGAGGAGTAAAAAGAAACGCTCAGTGTGTCACAGGAAGTCCTCCCCGCAGTCTGAGCTTATAGCAGCATGGCTAAGGGAGGATTCAGAGTCACGTGATCCAGCCCTAACTATATGCTTTTGCAAAAAGGAAAGTTTGAAGCCTAATTATAAAAGTAGAGATAGTGTCTGTCTCCTGAATCCAAACTGGGAGCTGGTTCAACAGAAGAGGGGCCTGAAAGCTAAAGGCTCTGCCTCCTATTCTACTTTTAAATACTCTTAGAACCAGAGAACACAGAGAACACGTGCCAAGCCAATGAAATGCAGTTAGCATCTAACTAGCAGTGCATGAAGGTGTCTTAGCTACATGTAAATTAGCATGTCTCATGGAGATGGTGATGCTAAAAAGTCTTTAAGTTAAGATCATTTAGAGGAGACACTCAAAAACTTTTCATAAAATACAAAAGAAATCTGCTTATTTTTCTGATCAGATTCCAAGAAAATAATTAAATAATAAGAAAATAATTCATTCAATAAAATTTCACCTTTTCTGTTTGTCTGAATTAATGAAATCCCCCCAAAATCCTGCCAGAAGTTCTCATCTGCACTGAGTAGCAGCTGAACAAGCAAGTATGTGACAGTGCTTGAAACCCAGACCCAAATAAAAATGGCTTAAACTGAGCTGGGGGAGGCAATGCCGTGAATGAAGCTGAGCTCTGCATGTCTCATTAATTCAGAAACCTTTTTTTTCTCTCGAGTGAATGCATTACACTTCCGTACCCCAGCATCATCCAGTGGTGGTTTTGTTTTTATTTTCACAATGGAAACCTCATGATAAAAGAACTTCACCTCAACAGGAGGCCAGGGGTCTTATAAAACATCCGCCCTAATACGAGAATTCAATCAAGTGTAATCACTAACAGCCGACAACAAGACAAAACAAGAAGGAGGGAGATGCAAATGAAATAAAGGCTATAAAAGCTTTCTTGGCGATGCAGAATTTTTTCCGACCGAGTTTTGCAGGCATTTAAAGAATCGGTGATTATATATAAGCCTGTTCCAGAGAGAGGGAGCTCTGGATTTAAAGGTACATTCATGCTGACAAGTGTGACAGCATCATATAAAAATATGATTAAAAGCCCGATGTGGTCCAAAACCTCTGTAGCTGTCTTAATTATTTCACACTGACACAAACCTCGTCTTCTTTAAAATCATCCCGGGATGCTATAATGGCTCATATCCCCAATCAGGATAAAATGAACAATCCTTGAGTCTAAGATAGTATTCGTTGGGATTCTTTTGCTTCTATTTGTATTATATTTTAGCCACAGAGCCAAGCATCTGTTTCACTAAAAAAGTAAATCCATTAGGTTTATATTATTAGCTTGTTTGACATCCCTTAAGGCAGTTTCTTCTGACAGTCCTCAAAGACTACTTGGCCCATCTGGATGAGAAAACATTTTGTTTGCTGCACAATAAAGCGGATTTTCATTCTCTTACCAAAAATACTAGTTTCTTAATCCATAAAAGATGGTTATGAGAGAAGACTGATTTGTAAGCTGCTCCACTGATTTAAATACTGGTAGATGTATAGAATTGGTCAGTGTATGACTGTGCGAGGGGAGACAGCAGTGCATGTGCATATTTTCTTTAGAGAAGCAAGCGGATATTAGAAACATGTATGTTCTGTGTTGTATAATGATGCTGTAGCCAAATGTCTGTCTGCGATGCATTTGTGGGAGGGGGAAAAAAGCATGTGTAAGTTCTTATCTGAACAACAAAGTCAAACTCGAGCCAATGTCTGGTGGCCAAATAATTTTGTTGGAGGGCCAGTTTTTTCCCCTCACTGGCCCATTTACTTTTTAATTTCTTGAGTCATTTCTTTGTCTGTCAAAAAGATTATGCAAAAATGAGATTTCATAAAAGTTTGTGGGGAAGTGAAACAGGAGGAGCCCGTTAAATTCTGGATACAGACAGCTTTCTGTAGGAATTTCAAAATGAACCCCTTAACTGGATGTGTTCTCTGAGTCCCCTTCAAGTTATTCCGTGTTTTTATACATAAAGGCCATCTTAAGCTTGTTTGAAAGTCCTTATTCCCCCGTTGCTGTGCTGCGTAATGCTGTGCGCTGAAGTGTCTGCATTGCTCTCCCATCACGAGTGAAAGTCGGCTGATTGGGTCGATCTTGTAGCTCATAAGTGTTGAACAGTTACTTTTAGTGAGACAGGAAAGACTTCAAAATCAAGTCGACAAAAATGACACATCGACATTGGACCAATACTTCTCATTGCTTTAGCACTGTGAGCAAGCTAGATGCACAGTTTCAGTCCATGAAGTTTATAATTCATGTCACTCCCAGTCAGACCAAACTCAGTCTTTGCACTTTGACCACTTTTTGGGGGAAAGTGCACACTGGGCTATGCTGTAGATCAGGGGTGGGGGAATCTCCAGGCCTCAAGGGCCGGTGTCCTGCAGGTTTTAGATGTGTCCTTGATCCAACACAGCTGATTCAAATGGCTATGTTACCTCCTCAACATGCCTTGAAGTTCTCCAGGGACTTGGTAATGAACTAGTCATTTAATTTAGGTGTGTTGACCCAGGGTGATATCTTAAACCTGCAGGACTCGGCCCGTGAGGCCTGGAGTTCCCCACCCATGCTGTAGATTGTGCAGTGATGTATAGTTGCCATAGATGCCATAGATTCCACCCATCCATCCATCTATGCTTATCTGGAGCCAGAGCCTACCCCAGCTGTCAAAGGGTGAGAGGCCGAGTGTACACCCTGGACAGATTAGGAGACTGTCACAGGGTCAACACAGAGACACACAACTATTCACAATCACGTTCACACCTGCTATCAATTTAGAATCACATGTTAACCTAACATTCATGTTCGTGGACTATGGAGTACCCGAAGAGAACCCACACAGGCATGGGAAGGACATCTGCTGGATTTGAACCCAAGACCTTCTTACTGTGAGCGATGGTACTGCTGTGCTGACCAAGGCTATACATTTAGACTTTTAATCAAACCTAAACAAGAAAACAAACTCCTGCAAATCAATTTGATTATTTTCCTACATGACATTTTTGCAAATATGTATAAGACTACTACTGTATTGAGAAATGTCGAGTAACAAGAAAATATCACAGCTCATATTGTTAAAAGGAGCAATAGTAGCTCAGAGGGTTACACAGTTGCTTCACAGGAAGAAGGTCCTGAGTTCAAACCCTGGTAGGGTGTCTTGTTCTGGAGCTTTGGTTTCTCCCACCAGTAAAAAACATTCTCACAGAAGAGGCTTAATCTCGAGTTTGTCTCCAAAATGTGCCTGTTAAACTTTATTGAACCAGCAAGTCAAGGAGACGGAGCTGAGATATTTGGACGTTTGCAGAGAGGGGATAATGGATGTACTGGACACAGGAAGTTTAATGTGGAACACCACCGAGGAAGTTCATGGATGCAGTGAAGGAGGGTTGATGTGACAGAAAGGATGATAAGTCCCTAATTTTCTCATTATTTTCCACCCAGGTGTCATTTGTGCAGTACAGCGACAACGCTAAGACAGAGTTCCAGCTGAAAGCTTACAAGGACAAAGGCCTCGCCATGGCCGCGCCTTCTTACATTCGTTACCGAGGAGGAAACACCAAAACAGGTTTGATCTCATGCTACAGGCCACAGGTACAGATCCAAACAAGAATCTGCTGATCTGACACAGTTTTCCTCTGAGCAGGAGAGGCGCTGAAACACACTTATGAGAAGGCCTTCTCTCTTGAAAACGGGATGAGGAGAAATGTCCCCAAGGTGGTGGTAGCCATCACTGACGGACGCTCTCAGGATGAGGTGAAGAAGAACGCCGCCAAGCTCCAACACGCAGGTAGATGTCACACAAACGTGTATCTCCATGCGAGTGTGTCCCAGATGAGCTCTGTTACAAACAGCTGTAAACAGACTGTTTACAGACCAAACAGAAGCAGCTGGTTCTCATCAGAATTAATGAAACTGTGCTGGATAGAATTTTCAATAATATTTTGTATCCATTTTTGGGTATTATTACCTGTTTAGACTCTTACTGGAAGAATAAATGAAGCCGATAAGCCAAGAGTCTGTTTGTGTTCTGACTGCCTTGGTTTGTGCCGTCCTCAGGTTACAGCGTCTTTGCCATCGGTGTTGCTGACATGGATTTCATCGAGCTGCAGCAGATTGGCAGCAAACCCAGCGAGAGACACGTTTTCGTTGTGGACGACTTTGACGCTTTCAACACCATCAAAGAAAACCTGATCACCTTCATCTGCGAAACTGCAACTTCCTGTTAGTTTAGAACAAAAAAGACAAACGTTGCTTTAACATGTGTTTCAGTGAATTAATTTCTGTGTGTTTTTGTCCACAGCGTGCCCCTTAATTTTTGTGAATGGATTTACTTCACCTGGTAAATACAAACTTTAGAGAAATTCATGACTTATTCACTGTTCGTCTGGATGATCTTGCAGTTAAAGGCAAGCTCCTGATTGGTTGTTTCAGGCTTCAGGATGCTGGAGGCATTCAACCTGACGGAGAAGACCTACAGTTACATCAAAGGCGTCTCCATGGAACCCGGCTCCTTCAACAGCTACACAGCATACAGACTTCATAAGAACGCCTTCCTGACTCAGCCTACTACGTGAGTCTCACGGGTCACAGGCTTATATGCACCCAAATGTTTCACATTACTCCTCATTTACCTTTGCTCTTTACAGTCTAAAACCTCTTAAGGTTTTGTCACTCATTTTTATTTGAGCACCTTCTCTTTTAACTTTGAGCTCTATTTCATAGACTTTGAAAGCACCGTGGTATAGCCTTTGAGGTCTATACCACGATGCTGGAGAGGACAGTCAGCCTGTTAGTTAAACCTCAGATTCAGGAGGATCAATGGTTTTCGTCCTGGTTGTGAAACGTTGGACCAGCTTTCTATCTTCTCAAAATTGTGTGAGAGTGTGTGGGAGTTTGCCCAACTAGTTTGCATGTGTTTTGTGGACTTGGAGAAGGCATTCGACCACATCTGTCAGGGCATCCTGTGGTGGGCACTTCGGGAGTATGGGGTGACCGACCTATGGCTATGAGCCATTTGTCCGTGTACAACTGTAGTGAGAGCTTAGTTCGCTTTGCTGGTAATAAGTCAGACCCGTTCCCAGTGAGAGTTGGTCTCTGCCAGCCCTGCTCTTTGCCACAAAAAAAGACAGATGGCAGAAGGTTTCCGCTTTCATCGGAATCTGGACTCTGGTCTTCACAGATGATGTTGTGCTTTTGGCCTCATTAGGTGATGAAATAGGGTGGTTTGCAGCCAAGTGTGAAGCAGCTGGGATGAAAATCCGCACCTCTGAAGATGGAGTTCCCACTCTAGGTCAGGGATGAGTAGTTGTATAAATATCTTGGGGTCTTGTTGACGAGTGACAGCAGAGTGGGTTGGGAGGTTGATAGACGGACTGAAGCAGCGTCTGTGTTGATGTGTTAATCAATGTATTGTGGTGGAGAGGGAGAGCTGAGTGCAAAGCAAAGCTGTCCATTTACCTGTTGATACTGGAGCCTCCTAGGTTAGGGATTTCAAACCTATCCCACCAGAAAAAGGCCCTGGGGCAGACCCAGGATACGCTGGAGAGATTATACTGTACCTCTTGGATGGCTTGGGACTGCCTCAGTGGATCACTTGGATTGTGAAGACACACCTGGAGCCTGAAGTAGAAAGCCCAGCTTAACAAGGAAGCTGATAACAACCATCAGAATACTTGTTATATCTGACTGAAGTTTGAGGTTTTGTGAAACTAGTGTATTGAACGTCCTTCATAGTCTACGGCTCTGTCTGTGCAGTGCTGGGATCAGCAGTGTTCATACCAGTGCTGACTGGTCAGAATGTGTTTGAGTTTTGAATGTGCATTTTAAACTGAATCTTTTCTTTCAAAAATGCGAGTTTCCGAGGTTTTCTGTGACATGGCCTGATTGAGTTACCAGTTTCTGCTGGAGCTTCCCAGAGTTTCTCCAGATTTGCTGTCTTTTAAATGCGTCCATGTTGTTCTCGTCTCCAACGGGACGAAAGTAACCAGCTGCATTCAAACTGTTTGAGCCCAGCTGTGGGGTCAGACTGAGCTGCAGGTCATGACGGAGAACAGACTGCCCATAAAACGGCTTTTCAGTTCTTTCTGAAGCTGTTTCACACTGTGAGCTTCCATCAGGCCACTGAGTGCAGACGCAACCGCAAACTAGACTGTTAAAACTGGCCACCACCCAGCACTGGCGTCCCATACCTAGAATATCACATGCAACAGCAGCGAGATGGAAAACAGCTTGGGTTTTAACTGTTTACCAAAACTGGCTTAACAAAATGTGTAGTGACATCACAGGGACAAATGAGAAACATCCTGCAGCGATGTGAAAAGGAGAGGAAGAAGAGCCAGTGGATGGAAAATTATTAAAATCACTGCTAACAGATAACATGTTATTTTTAAGTTGTGTCTATAATTACTTGGAAATAGCACATTGTTTGTGTTAGTGGATGTTTAATCTAAGAACAAAGATGTGATTGAAATACAGATTGTTTTTATTCAGTAGGTTTTAGATAGTTCCTCACTCTAAAATAGGCTCCAAAATAACTGGAAAAATAAGTAACCTGATCGCAACCTAATAGAGCAGCTTTTGGTTACTGAAGACAAAATTGAATGCAGAGAGACCGACAAACAAGCAGCAACTGAAGGCAGATGCAGTAAAGGCCTGGGCGTGAATCTTGAGGGAGGAAACGCAGCATTTTCTGATGTTCATGGGTTTTATACCTCAGGCAGTCACTGACTGCAAAGTATTAAAAACAATCCTTGTGTTTAAAATCATGTAATCTAGCGTGTTACTTTCCAGCCTCTGTGAAGCTGTTCCTTATATCCTTGAGCCCAAGGCCAGACTTCTGTTTAAGGTTTAAGCTGTGTTTAACCTGTCCTCGCTCTGTCCGGACATTCACAAATCTAACGCGCTGTTTTGTGTTTTTTCTTCCTTTTTCAGAGACATCCACCCTCTTGGTCTTCCCCACGCCTACACCATCATCATGATGTTCCGCCTCCTGCCTGACACGCCCAAGGAGGCCTTCGACATCTGGCAGGTGTCGAGCAAAGATCACAAACCAGAGACCGGCGTCACCCTTGACCGTAAGTATCGCACTCTGTTCTTATCCTGTGCTGCCTGTGTGAAAACAGAGAAAAGCAGCAAGGAAATGTGTGATGTGGAGCAGCTGTGCCTCACTGCTCACTGCTGTGCCTCACCTCTGATCGCTGACAGAGAAGAGTTTGTAATGTAATGAGCTGGCCGTGCCCTCTGGCTGCTTCGGTCTGAGCTGATCGCAGACTCCCTTCGCCGCACAACTGTTGTGTCATCGAGCAGCTCAGCTGGCTCTCGTAAAGACTGTGTTTCTGTCTGTCAGCAGGATTTCAACAAAAATCCACCAGTGACAAACATTTGTATTCTTGAGTTATTACAACGAATTATAACTGTGCATGATTAAAGGTTTGACATCATGAGAGAAACCTTCTGGCACAAAGTTGCACAACAAAGCACCAACAAAGCACCAACAAAGCGAAAGTTGGTCTTCCTGTTTCCAGTGTTTGTGCTGAGAGAACTTTCTCTTGACAGCTTCACAGAAACTCAAACATATGAAAGTCGTGTCAGTCGTTGTGTTTGGCAGGTTCAGGTAAAGTATTTTATCACTAATGAAGCTGTGCTAACTCTGTAAGAAACAGACTATATTCACTTTAACTGCCCTGTACTAAAACAGCAAGTTCAACATATCTAGGATATATTTCCTTATCTGGCTTCGTTAAACCTAATCCATCATAATAATAAAAAAATATGAAGAGGTTAGCACATATTTCAGGTTAAATAATGGGTGAACTGAAACAGCAGAGCCAGGAGCCATTCTGCCCCCAACTTTTCAAGGTCTGCTAAGGCTACACCCTTAAAAACTCATACTAACAGACAGAGTTGTACTCGTCAAAACAACTGGCTTACACTAGAGGGTAAATCAAGTCTTTGAAATAACTGACACACACACCAAAGTTAAAAAATAAGCTACAGCGTTTCAGACAGGATCAGTGTTTTTTTGTATCATTAATATATCGCCTGTAGGAGATTGTGACAGTTATGATGACTGAGTGGTCCATCTACATTCATTCTAACTTTTATAATGTTGCTTCTAAAATTCATGGCAGGCTAAAATTCTTAGGACTGCAGGAATTCCCTGGTGTTCCCAATGGGCTGAAAGCAGCACAGTTGCTTTAAGGACATCTAGATGATAAGGAATTACAGCAGTCCAGCCTAGAAGTGCATACAAGGAATAGTTTTGCAGCATCAGTCTGAGAGAGGATGTTTCTAATTTTGGCAATATT